CTTGGATTCTGACTCCAACATGACATTTTATGTCACCAATAAGGATAACGGCGTATTATCTGACTTAACAATCCGACAGATTGGCTACGTTCACACTGCAGGACTTAATGCTAAATTCCGATTTTCTTTGTGAATTCTGATTTTTTTGCGAGTTCGTTCTCATTTCCAATTAAATGCGACTTGTATGTGATCTGCTGTGTGAACTTCATACGACCCAAAAGTGTCCCACATGGACAGAAGAGGACACAATGACGTCACATGCAGCAAGTGTGCTCAGGGTTTGTGGAAGTAAACACGGATGGTAACAGTGGAGCGTATCTGTCACTTCCCCGCCGCCGCTGCCACCGATGGTGGAAACAGAACTGTGATCACTAACTAAACTGGCATCAGCAGCCAAGTACTGCCTGTGCGTTTCGGCCACTTCCACCCCGTCAGAGTGCTCCCCCGGGGTGGAAGTGTCCCTCCGACCGCCTAATATTCTGATATTCATCATTAATTGGATCTGTGTTGTCCAGACTGTCATGAAAAGATCAGATACAGTCGCATAGGAGAAAAGCCTGCTGTCTGAACGTATTTACACTTTGATGTCAGGCCAGTGCACAAACACACCGGTCAATTAGGCGTAAAATCCAGCGATGCATAGTGTTCTAACAACACACTAGTTATTATAACAACAATAAACAATGAATATTAACAACAAATTAGCCTTCAAGCATCAAGCCCTCCTTATATCTCGACCTCCGTCTTGACAATCCGACAGCCTTGCTATCCGACATAAAAGCAGATTTTACATTTAGTGTCGGATTATCGAGTCATGACTGTACTACAAGTGCTTCATTTTTTAATTTTTTGGCATTGATTCACACTATAGTCCTACATAGGATTTGGGAGGCCAATGAGACATTTCCATTAAAACAATTAAATACTTATATTTAGACAAACATTTAAACTTTTTCTTAAGTTCCAACTTTTTATATTGACAGAACATCCAAAAGTTGCACAGTTGCTTGGCACAGACCTCTTACCGTCGGCTGTTTGAACTGTGAAATAGATTTCTGTGCAGGTTTCTATAACTACACCTGCTTCTATACCATAGTTTCTATTGAGTTTTCAACATTTCAGCACCGTAGACGGAAAGACAACAAAGGGCAAAGCCTTCACGTCTGCTCTCACTCAACATTCAACATCTGCGCTCGTGTGAAGTGCTTTTAGAGAAATTTTCTTCATGGTCGTAACTCTTGAATTGCACCGAGACGCAGCACGCCGTTCAGAATAGCAACACACATACTGTTATTTAGTAATGATTGCTGTGCTCAGAATCCTAGATATGATCTCATGAACTCCCATTCATATTTGATAGGGTAATGGAGCATCCATTTTTCATTCAGTGGCGAGGGGAAGAAGGTGCTGCCAGCTGTGTTATTATAGATTTTTTTTTTTTTTTTGCATTCGTTCATCAGCTGTTATCCACACACATACAGCGACGGTCTCACATTCAGTGGTGGCAACAGACTCCGACCTCTGACCCTTGTGTATCACCGAGTCCACAGATTAGTCATCACAAATGTGTCTGAGCAACTCAAGTGGATCTGTGCAGCTCGAGTGGGATGCGATTATTCCACTGACCCCGTTTGAAAAGCATGCTTTTGCCTCCACAACAACATGTTTTGCTTCTTCTTAATACGGGCGGTGGGTGATCACAGCAAACATCGGCTGAAACTGCTTATAAAAACGCTGTTCCTCCAGCGGCGCAGCAATATTAGCTTACCTCTAAAACTGACGTGCAATCAGCTTGCGGGTAATAACACCTTAATGAAACGTTTTTGAAGCCGAATCCTTTGCGGAGGTCATCCCTCAACTCCAAATCATTACGTGGCTGATTCATTTCTCCGCCATGTTAATATAAACAGCATCGGCTTGGGAGGATGAAACTGAGGGTGGCCTTAATTGTCAATTAAGGATGCACCTCGCAGTCCTACTCCCGCCACGCGACTTGTAGATTGAGCGATAGCGGCGAGGGCAGGATTGCCTCGCGTCGAGGTCGCTGTGAAATGAACTCTGGAGAAATGAAAAAAAAACTTTCTATTATGTTTGCTTTCTCAACCAAAAGCAAGCAATCACACATGAAGAGAGTCACAAATAAATGCCTCGCACTCTTATTATGTGTATCGCGGTGATGGTTTTGGCTCTGCTCGGTGACGGACCTGGTTGCCAACAGATGTGTTTTTCTGCACGTTCACTGATTGCAACATCCATAACACCAAATATCCAACTAATGAATGACTTCAAGAACAAAAACACATTAGCCCCCATTAATCAGACAACGAGGAGATCTTCATTACATGCTATTGACGCTCTGTCTTGATGGAGGGATTGTACTACGATGCAAGAAAATGCTAATTCCTGCTACATCTTTTCAAAAATCAGCTTTCAAAGGGAGCATCTCACATGTTAAGTGTGCAGATGTGTGATATCCAACAAGCAGCCAAACAAACAGGTTTTCATAAACATCTCAACAATAGGAAAGCGACTGAAAGAAGATTTTCACAAGAGGGTGGCAGAGTCATGGTTCGATGTGGGTGATATATGCTGTGTGGAAAGAAAAAAAAAAAAGGCAAAGCAATAACCTGTCCTGTTGATGCAGCAGAGACACAACAACCTTTTACAACTGCCCTGTAGTTTTCTTTCTCTTAACATTCAGTTTTTGTCCTGCGCTTTAATTAGTTCAGTTACAGTCCGTCAACACAGTCTATGGGATATTATTATCATTGAGCAATGCCCTTAAAGTGAAGCTTGTTTGTTTTGGTTCTGTTAATTATGCAAGATATAAAACACAACCAACCCTAACCCCAAAACCTGCCCCGAGGATGCAACGCAGTGGTGTGGCAGAGTGTATGAAGATCACGTCACGCTGAAATGCCCATGAAGACTCTTTATTCATAACAAGACCTCGGCAGAACCCGAAAATCCCAGACTTCACTGGCATCCTAATGACACATAACTAACTGAAGCAACAAACTCGTAAAATAGAATTAGAGTCTAGATGCCAAATAGCTGCACATGTTATCCATTATGCTACACAGTAAGAATCCATTCCAGTTCCTGGCTGAATCTTCATTATGCTGTTATTGATAATCAAATACCAACATTTGCCGCTGTGTAGCATGCTGTCACCTACTGATGTTGGCATACTCTGTGCTCTCCATGGTTGAAACACCAAAGAGTATGAAGCACCTCCACCTCAATGATCACCTATATCTAAGGGATTACGAGATAAAAAACAATAGAAAGAATCCTGCAGTTCCTCAAATGTCCACTAGAGGCTGGCTCCAAAAGCGAGTCAGCCCCCATAGACCCCCATGTTAAAATGACCAAGTTTAAATGATGAATAAACATATTTACAGCCTGCTACAATAAACAGCTTTAGCCTCTATAGCTAATTTCCTCATCAATGACAACCACACAGGGGACAAATGTTTCTGGAACTCATTAGTTGAAATTGTATTAAAACATAAAGTTATGCATAATTAAGGGTGTGGCTGCACATATACTCCACCTCCTTGCTTGTTTTTTGGATTAACTGTGCTGCCAAGATGATGACACTGGGCTACAAACACCACAGGTGAAGTCACAGAGGGTTCATCCATCTTTTTTTTTTTTTATACAATCTAGACCTGTACCCAATTTCCACCTGGCTCCCTTTAGGACAGAAAATGTTATTGTCACAACCTGTTCCCTGCTGAATTTGTGGTGTGATGAGGCCAGAACAGGAATATAAACATCACCTCTGTACATATTCTATTGTATATCCACATTGTTATGAATTTCTATCATGCACGGCTCTCTTGGATTATTCTATGCTGCTGTCCCCTGCACTTCCACCTCCTCCCCAGCGCCCACCAGTAGGCTCTGAGTATATAGTTCTTGTAGGGAAAGTTATTATCCGCCAATCTCGACTGGGTGGTCTCGGTGCATCCATGTAGGGAGTGATGCCAGATATCAGCTCAGTAATGTTCCACGTCGACGTAGTAATCCAGTCTAGTAATGTTTCTAATTCTATCATCCAGTGATATTTGAACCCTGACTCCTGTTAGAAACACCAAACCTGCTTTAATCAAAAGGTTTCCAGCCTATAAGCAGCACCGTCTGTTCACGATTATTTTAAAATTATGTCTGAGAGCAGTCTAGGAATGTGCTCTGCTGTGATTCACAAATATGATTTAAGTCCAAGACAACAGCCTTCACAGACAAAACTGAATCTACATTCACAGTAAAACGGTAGCTCTGTTTGCTTCTGGGTGTAAAGTCCGACACGTAAGCAGGATTTTTCCACTCTGCTTCTTCAAAATTTCCTCAAATTGTCTAGAAAGTTACCTTGTGACTCACATCTTCCAGTCTCTCAAATATTTTTGCCTCCCAGCCACGAGCAAAACAAATGTGAAATATATATATAAAAAAAGAAAAACCTTGCACAGTCAACATCCCCAAAAAAACAACCCACTACAAAGTGCACGCACATTAGAAAATCAATGCTTGCACAGCATATTGCAGCCGCATCCCATGCCACTTAACATATTCCGTTCTGCTCTAAATAGTATGTCACAGGAACTTTGACACACTTTTTGCAAGTTGCTGCTTAGTAAATGTTCAAATCAGACTGTGCTTACATCCACTAGTGGATCAGTTAACGGATTCAGCAGGGATTTTCTCCAAAAACAGCGTGACAACAAACACAGACACTTCAGCATTTAGGAGCCAAGGGAGGTTCTAAACTAAAAGTCTGAGAGATGCCCGAGGCATTCTGTGTTCCCGAGAGAGACAATCCATTCCTGCAGCAAAGATCAGGCTTAACGAAACATTCTGTATTTCAAGGGGGAAAGTTTTCATGAAGTGCGGTATAGACTGTATCTCGCTGACCCTTCGCAACTTTCCCGATGACATCTGCGATGCAAGCAAAACAGAAATAGCTCACGAGTAGACAAAGCAAAAGCGAGACTCACCAAGAGGCTGTCCTGCTATGATTCGGGCATTCTCTCCCGCCACGGCCGCCCGGGCGTTTCTTTCGTTCATGTACTGTACGAAGGCGTAACCCTTGTGCACGGAGCAGCCCACTATCTTGCCGTACTTGGCGAAGATGACTTCTATGTCGGTCTTCTTGACGATGGCTGTGTTGAGGTTGCCGATGAAGACTCTTGAGTTGAGGGAACGAGGATCATTCTTGTTGGTCACGTTGCTGGTCTGGGTTTTACCAGTCATTCTCCTCCAGTTGCCCTCCTGGGACACAGACAGAGGAGGGAGGGGGAGGGCGAGAGCTTTAGAGGTCGGACAGGCCAACGCCAGCTAATTCTGCTCCTGAGGAAAAGTTGCATTAAACTGACAAAGTTATGAAATAGATAATCATATAAATAAGTTACTAAAAAACATACTGAGTTGAATGAACTTCTTCCAAAATGCCACTTGTCAAGTCTTTCCTTACTTTGCAATGGAAATTTACCAGTGTCATTTTTATGTCATATTGCCACTTTTCATGATAGTGAAGTTGACTCACCATCTACCTGCCAGCAGACAAAGTAGTTCCTGCTGGTTAGAGGAAAAAGCAGAAAAACACTCTGTGCTTTTTCAGAGTTTCTTTTTCTGAGAAAACATCTTTAAATTCCCAATGCTGCAGAGGAAACAATCAGTGACGGAGGTAGACAATTTTTTTTTTTTTTAGGAGTGGCCAGACTGAGACCATTACTCACACACAGATTGGTATGTTGGCTTTTCTTTTTTTTTTCTTTTCTACATGGCAAATGGCTGTGGGCCAGATTTCAGTCAATTGTCGGGGTCACCTTCTTGTATGTTTAAGCACAGCGCCCTCCATAATTATTGGCACCCCTGGTTAAGATGTGTTAAAAGCCTTAAAATAAATTCAGTTGTTATTGCAGAAGCAAACTCTCACACTAAAAATTGTAGAAAAATGTAACCTTCAACTCAACTCAAATGAATTGTTGGCAAAAGGGGGATTGTACAAAGTATTAACATCAAGGGTGCTAATTATTGTGGCACACATGATTTGATGTAAAATAATTATTTTTTAATGTGGGATTTTTTTCACACTGAATAAATGCGCTTGAATTAAAGGTTGAATTTTCCTCTTTTTTTTCATTGTGGTCTTATATTATTTAGGGGAAAAAATGAATTTACTAGAAGCTAAAGAACACATCTTCACCAGGGGTGCCAATAATTATGGAGGGCGCTGTATGCTAACACAATTTTATATCTAGAACAACTTCGGCAATCGGCATTATTTGTTCCAGGTTGTGCTTTTGTAATTGTTGATATCACAATTTTAAATCACATTATTGTTGGGATATAACTCAGATTTTAGTTATTAATGAGCTCCGCCCCTGGTTGCAGTTAACCAGCTACCTGTTGCTCCTCTCTCATGCTGACTTTAAGATAGTTAGCTTGTTAAATACGTAGAAATTAGCTGCTAGCACTGTTAGCCACTTAGCTCCTGTTAGCTGCAGCAATGCTAAAAGTTATTCTGGGGGCACCAGCTAGCGGCTGCTAGCAGTAGTTACAGTACACAAACAACTAAACATTCTTTTTTTTTTTTACCATAACGGCGACAATGCTAACATTGCTAGCAAGTTAACTAGCTGTGCTGGCTTGTGAGCTTAGGTTAGCTGGTTAACTGAGTCGAGTTAACCCAAATAGGGAATTATAAAGATGCTTCTTAGACAAAGACATAACTCTGAAAAATCTGCAACAGTGACATTTTGAAGGCCTAAAATTAAAATGTCACGAGGAAAAATGCCGTAATGAAATAGAACTACTTTTAAGAAGGGCATTCTGATATAGAAATACAAATTAACCAAACCAAAAATGATAAAATGACTTCACATTCAATCTATTTACATGATTATTTACTTCTTCAGAGTGTTTTCATTTAATATTAAACACATTCGGGCTTCATAGAACCCAATATTTACACTTGGAATCCAATTCAATTACATTTTTCTTGTTCATGAAGGCTTGTTGTTTTTGAAGGCTTTCTCCACAGCATGCAACATAATGTAATTTAATGTACAAGGTCACTGGCCAGTCAACTGATTACCTAAGCCACATTTTGCATGGTTGAAGTGCTGCCACTGGATGGCTCGGGGGAGCATTAGAAGGCGCAACAATATGTGAATGTCACAGCAGTTTTCCTCTGCTTTGTCAGAAACCAAGTACAGTAGCTGCTAGTGGGAAAGCTCTGCTATCTCAATGCCCATATTGTTGCATCCCTAATGCTTTGTGTGCCATTTCACTGGTCACAGAATGTGTAGGCTGTAATTCATGTTTTATTTAGACTTTTTTTTTTTTTGTGCTGTCAAGTTCTCAGCGTACGTTAGCCTCTGCTTTCATTGGCCTCCCCTGCAATTATTTCCAAATGACCTTTTCATGGCTCCAATGTTAGTTTTTATAAAAGACGATTGGAAATGATGCCGACCCAAGGAAAGGATGCACTATTGTACAATTACGGTTGTATATTTAATAACAGTTATCACAAAGCAGAAATGTATCTCCCACATACTCATCTCTTTGATTTGATTTCAGATGCAAGCACATGACTCCATTTTTTTTTTATAGCTGTAGAAATCCAGGTTTTCATTACAATTTATGTTCCAAACTGGATTACACTTACTGCACTAAATACTGTGAAACATTGTGAAGAAAACACAGAATATTCAATATTTGCCTGCGCTGAGTCTCTGTCCCTGACACACGCTGATAACAACTATTCAGCTTTGAGACGAAGAACCTGAATAATGGATCCCATCCTCAGTAAATAGGATTAGTAACCAAGGTAACGCTGATGTTGTTGGAATACCGTACGCTCACACACACATTTTCTCGCTGGCAGTCCTTTTTTTTTTCGGTCCCCTTTATCCAACATAATTTTTCATTGCTGCAGATTCCAGCAGCTCAGCCACTTTGACACTGCGACGCCTCAGTCTCTTCACAATTGCATAATGCAGTTTTATTGTGAAGTGCTATCCTATAATGGGTTTGTTCAACTAATTACGTGGCGCGGGATTACGTGGAAAATGCAGTGAGAGGATGTAATTCGCCAACTGAATTATGGCTGCATTGTGTAGCGAGGCTGCTCCTCTGAACCTATACGAAGAGAAAGGAGCAGCCGGCCCAGTCATCCAGCAAAACTAGAGCAGCCGTGTGACGTGTTTGCGGAGGAGATATTCTCCGTCGCGAGGCATCCATTACACCTGAGTCTGAGGTCATATCAAGCATTCTGATGCTCGTTCCCTCGTTTCGCTTAGAAACACACAAGCTTTCAGCATTACCTCAGCAGAGGGGCCGCGGCTATTTGCTTCACTATTGACTATTCAACACCCACTACGGGCGCGTGACAATTCATGTTTACAGTGCTGCATCAGTGCATGTGGGTGTGTGGGAATAAACTGCCGCTCGCCATCTCTCAAGTGGCCTTGACATTTATCAGCGGCAGACACTGAAAATTAATGCGGTGCAGGCACGCAGACATACATGTGCTAACTCAAACGAGCTCCGCGGCGACCACCTAACGGCAGTTTAAACCCCCCAAACCTGACACCCGTCCTATATTGATGTCCGCGGACAGGTCACGGGGAACATGACAAATCAGCGGAGAAGCGCTAGATTGCCCATCGCGTCGGATAAATCAGGAGCGGCTACTGGTCGCGGAGCCATTTTTACTGCTTCCCGCTGTGATATTTCACGTCGTCGACTCTGTTGTTTTCTTTAGAACGGGACACTAATTTATTCCATCAGTGGGTTTTTCCTGCTGACCTTGCCTTTCCGTATATTTACAACCTCCATTAAGCTACTCATGCTACGAGGTGATAGCGTCATGAGGAGGAACGCGGGGGAAAAAATCGGCGCGCCAAGTGATGTAATTGGCCAGGGAATTGGTGTAGAGGGCTTGACATTCGTTACTAAAAAAAAAAAAAAAACTCGCAAAGAAGAGTTTCATCCCAGAAATGTAGTCTGCAAACTGCTTTTAGAGAAAGAAATGATGACCCCGTGTTCAAAGCCCGCTCCTTAAAAATGATTACAGCTTCTACAGTGGAGCCTTTTGTCAGTTAAGAGCAGAAGACAGATCAAGTCTTCATTTTCACTTTCATGCCAGCGTGGTTTTGTCAGAATAGGTGTCACATTGTTCAAAAGGTGGATGTCTTCTTTCTTTTTTTTTTCTTTTTTTTTGGGGGGGAATGAAACAGTTTGCAGTTCCGGCATTACAGAACAGAGGAAAGACAATCTCCTGCCAATATTAGGGGGAATATGGATAAGGTCTTGTGGTTGACGTATGTGTGTGTGTGCGGCTGAGAGAAAAAAAAGAAGATTCGGTGCAGAAGTACTGACTTCTCCCCCTGCTTTGTAATGCATTGTGCCTTGGCAGACAGGCCCTTAAAAGGTTGTTGTTTGGGTCTGGCCACCTGCCTGATTTATAGACATTTTTTTTTTTCCCTCCATGGAGGGGAGGGAACTCATTGAATTGATTCCTTTTGTAATTTCCTACCACTCCACCACTGTACATTTCTCTTCGCCATGCCTCAGCCACTCTGCTCTGATTGTTGCCTAGGCAGCTTGACGGGCTGAGGAAAGGCTGGAGGAGCTGCTCACTGAAACAGAACAGAGAAAAGGTAACCCGATACACCTTTTTCCAATGGTGTTGCTGCCATGTACCGCAGAGTCGGAATAATTGCTTTTGTGGATTCCTTCCATTTATATCTTGTCTTAAAATGTGTCCGTCTGCCTGTGAAAGCAACGGCAACAACTGAGAGGGAGAGAGAGGAAAAAAAATCCCCCCTTTATTTGTAAATCAATGCTTCTATTTGTATTAGAGGCTGCAGAGCATCTCGGTGGTGCAGGCGGCCATAAATTTGTGCACTTTTGTGTATTGTGGTCAGAGGAAACTATTCTGCACCACGAAGATGAGCTGCAGTCGCAACGTTTGGTCCGATTTGAAGGTAAAAGAACAGTTGCGGCGGAAATCTAATTGAATATGAGGCCATAAACAAATTAAATGTCATATAGGACGGTCCACCTTTCTACCTGCATCGTGAAAAATGACTCCATACCCCAAGATAGAGCGACATAAACCTAATTTTCTCCACATTTTCATTCAGCTGCTGCCCTTTTGGCTTCGTGAGTGAAGGTACACATTGCTGGGCTGGGATTCAACTCGGTGCGACAGCAAAGAGGGCCTATAAAAAGGGAGGAGGAGG